CTCAATTATCCGAACTTTTGTGATGTTAATACATGAGATGTTGCTCATTGAAGCCTTCTAAGAACTGTATATCAGGTAGATAGTTTTTTAACAAAGTTATAGAATAATTACTAATGAACCATTCAATAGTTAAACCCTCATATAAAGATGCATAAATAAATAAGAGATAGAATAAAGTTTGACATGTCTCGAATTATTTATGTATTACTATCATTTTTAAAGTGAACAACTATTAAATTTATAGATTATTTTGATCATGCCTTATATCAGTAAATTGTGTTAAAGTAATTTAATCCCATTGCTAATATGCAAACACTAAAAACATAATGAAAAAATTATTCATAGTAGTGTTTTGTTATACTAATCTATATATATAATTATGGTTATCCTATTAATGTTAAATTTTTTTGTTTCCTGCTCTTTTTTAAAAGGTTAATTATGACAAAAAAAAAAAATTATTATTCTTTTTTATTAAAATATAAAAATCTAACTAAGAGTCATTAGTATAATGATTTAATTATAAATATGATATATACTATTATATCAATTTTTATTTTAATTAAAGTTTTTATATATAATTTTTTTTTTCTTGATAACCTATGCTAATACTAGTTTAATCTTATAGTGAGAACGTTGACAGGGGAAGAGTGGGAGGTGGGGTGATGGTGGGCTCCACATAACAATACTGTCTCGGAATGTACAAATATTATCCTTTTAGGATCCGATAAGGATGGCTGGACCTTGGACTTCGGATCTTTTTCTTCCGAATTTTATGTAAAATTGCATGTCATTAAATGCATATTTGGTGGGGAAGTCAATTCCCTAATATCTATCTTATCTAAAAAAAAACATAAGAATAAAATTAAATTATTTTTAAAAATAGTTTCTCGCTAAAATCAGTATGAAATAATTTTTATATTCTTTTCAAGTGTTTTCAAATAAAAATATAAAGAAGCAGTAAATGCATTACCATAATTCGGTTGCTATTTGTCATGTCATATTCTCAATTTTAGTTGTAAAAAAAATATTCTAGGATTTTGTGTTGTGTACATCTTGAATTTTTAAAATGTCATGCCATATTCTCGATTTTAGCTGTAAAAAAAATATTCTAGGATTCTGTGTTGTGTACATCTTGAATTTACTTAAAATCAAACAATTTTAATGATATCTTAATCTATTCTTTTATGGTAACGATTTTGTTGAGTGTATTTTTTTTAGCAGGTTTTTTAAATTCACCAATTAATAAATGAAATCTCATTCTAATTCTAGATAACACATATATTTTTTATTTTTAATATTATTTAAAAATAAAATAAAACTGCAATGGACTTGGACATGTTATATTCTTAATTTTACTTTTATATTTTTTTTTATAAAACATCGTTGTTTTTTTAAGTAATTTTAATAAAAAAAAAACTTGTTCAATAAATTTAAAAAGAAATAATAGTTTAAATAAATAGTTTGAAAAAAAAAATTAAGAATAGAATATCATTTAATGTGACTTTATGATTAGTTAGTAGTGGTATTATGAAATAAATAAATAAAAATATAATTACTTTATTAATATGACATGGTTAAATTAGCATGCTTTGAGTTCATTTGTTCGGTCAATTTGATAAGTGAAATCGAGCCATTTTCACCTCCGAACCTAAGTCTATGTGCATGCATGTTATAACCAATGTACTAGCCTCATTAGCCATGATTTTTGATGTATATTATTCGGCCCTAAGTCAATTTGCATGTTGAGCATGTTCATTTTCGTGCCCTAGTGTGGCCTCGTGCCTAAGCAGCCCTATAAGCCTATCTCCAAATCCAACCGAGGTCCCTCAGTGACTTTTGGCATTTTTGAGTATTTTATGTCATATTAGGTTGGTTTGGTTCAGTAATCCCCGGAAAAGTTGCCGGAAGTTCGGCAAATGACCGGCTAGGGTCACTAGCCGCGCCAGTCGCGCGTGCTGTGTCTGTGCCGCGTCACAGAGGCCAGGCAGTGCCTCTGTCCGTGCCCGCGCCTAGCGCTCGCGAGGCACCGCAGCCCCAGCGCACGCGACAGCGCCCAGCAGCGCCTGTCCGTGCCAGTGAGCGAGGTCTCGGCGCCAGTCGCG